CGAACTTAATTTTTTTTTTTTTTTAGTACGAATTCGATTGCTACTGTATTCAATCATTTTGCATTACATCGTCATCGTGCCGATGTAGCCAATACGTTATACGTGGAACCAGATATAGCCATTAAACTGCACTACAAGTCAAAATGTCCGATTGAATCGGGAAAACAGTGTGAACATTTGAAATATGTTACTGTAGATGATACAATAATGGATCGATATGCTGAACAATTAACTAGACAAGTTACCAAAGTGCTTAATTATTTACACTTTATTGAATAAATAAATTTTATTTGATATACTTCTGTTTTTATCTCATGGCAGTTGTGGTATACATTTCATATTTCTGATTGTTGATGTCAAAGTTCATTTGTACTTAAAGAGATGAAAGAAGAATGATTGCACTTTCTACTTGAACTACTGTGAAGCTCTTTTCTATCTTACAGTTAGTCTCAGAGATGAAAACTTAGAGATTGCTCATCCAATAATCGATTCTATTATATCTTCTTGTCTGATAACATGTCGTCAAGAATTTCACTGAATAAATTTTTCAAAATCTCTGAAATTGTTAGCTGTATTGCTATTATGGGTAAGTTATAAAGCTTTCAGGAACCAGAAAGTGGGTACTGTTAACGGATTCACTAATACATGATATAGGAGAATTGCAATACTTTATCAATACTTACTAAAAGTATTTCTACGTGATATAAGGCTAGCAGCTTTAACTTTGTGGTATGCGTATATTATAGGTATAATGATACGTCATCTGGACATATCGTTATCATTCAAGATGTAATTCAAATGGTTCAATCACTCTGGTGCTGTTGCTGCAAGAAGGGACAACCGTCTGTATGTCTGGATGCACTCTGTTGCATTGTGATTAAGAAACCGCTTGGAGTTATATAGGTTCGAAGGTATATTATTAGGTGAGAAGATAATCCCTGACCCAATGCTAGTCGGGGTCGAAGTGTGTTGGCGATGATAGATGAGACACTAACTTCGCGGTTTCCACTCGAGATGCGTCCATGTGGGATTATTTCCTTGGATGTCTGAGCCAACTTTTGCTGTGTGACATTTGAGTGTAATCTTGTATGTTCCCTTTGGCAGGAAGGGACGGGATGTGTGTGGTCGTGTTTTATTGGGAGCGGTTGATGTGTGTGTGTGTGTGTCCCAACGTGCGGTCTTATGATTCCAGGTGTGCTGTTGCTTGTTCGTGTGGTCTAATAAGGTTTACTGGGTAGTTTTTGTTTTCGTCACTATAAAGTAGGACGTGGAGTTGCTCTGGACTGGTACTACGCTGTTTATTCCGCCATATTTTAATCTTTACAGGAAGCACTGCTTCATGGGTACATTCTACATCTCTAAGTTTGGCAACACTTCTATTCCAGTTTGAAATTTCACAGCAGATTTGATGGAAGTGTAAATTGGTTTTCTAAACGGAAGCAGATGATGAATGCATGAACGTTTTTTTTTTCCACATATTTTGTCCCGCGTTTCCTTATAAGAAACGAGAGATAGTAGGGGTAGTGTTGTATTCCTCATGCAGCAAAAACAGCTGCTGTATTTCGGCAAACTGATTTGATCACGCTCATGATAAAACCTTCCTGTCTTCCATTTGGCCTCAGTGGATTCATTATACTTGTCGCGAATGAACGCGAAGAAGTTCCGTGAAAAAGAAAAATATAATGCAGTGATGTACTAACTTTATACGTACCTTGTTGAATCGTGATTAAGATTAAAAATCATCCAAATTTTTATGAGTAAGGCACTATTATTGCATAAAATTGTATATATACTATTTGTTTAGCAATGTACCTAAAATGTAGGAATCTTTGTAGAGCTCCTACACTATGTACACTAAGCAAAGCGCTTTACCGATATCAACGTTTTACCAATGTTCGCTAACAGAAAGTGCTTTATCCGCATGAGCTAACGAAGGCGCTAATCCGTGTAATCGTAAAACCATTCTTTGAAAGATATAAACTCAGCAGACATTCATTCTTTCTTTTATTCTCCAGATTTTTCTCTTCGAAATTCATTTTGTGATGTCTTTAAATTGACTTCATGCATTAATTTGTGTTTTGTAATTGTTAACGGTTGTGGTACCCTAACATTATTTCGTTTACCTAATGGTTTAATTACTCAAGTTTGATTTGGCAATAACGAGAAATTTGCAACTCTGTATCACGTTGGGCATGATACTTTCAAAAATACAATAATTTTCCACTTTTGTATTTCTTCGTAATGATATTCTGATGCTGATTTTGTTGCTTGTTGTCGAGAAACTTTTGTTATTTGCTGTTGATGTGATGAGTCGCATGGGGAAGGTTTAATGAATAGTAGAATTATAGTAACCAATATAATGCAATAGTATTAGGTAAAATAAAGTAGAGGGTGAAATGAGATCAGTAAAAGTAATTTTAAGTAAGAGTAATTAATAGCCGACTTAAGGGAGACAAATGTGGCGCTGATATAAGATCTAATCAAGAAATTTTACTAAAGAGTGCCACTCTAATCATCATTTTAATCACTAATCACTCTTACTTAAAATCTCTTTTATCTAAAAAGAATTTGTTCTCGGAGAACTTTATATTGCCCATAAGTAGGTTGAGCGTACGATAACATACAGAATTAGTTTTTTTCCTCTTGTCCAAGAGGAAATTGCATGGAAATTATTTAACCGGACATGCAGCTTTTTCACAACTATTCAAAGAATTTGTAAATATGATCAAGTTTTACAAATTAGTTATCGGTTGTGCACAATTTGCATGACTGAGTTTAGATAACAGAC